TGCCTGGATTAACGCATAGTCCTTTCACTTTTCTGCTCCAAGCTGCTGGGTTCTGCATTAGGTCATTGTGCTTCTGGGGCTGTGGCCGTGCTGGAGAGCCGCTCGTGGGGGCAACTGGTGGCCTCGGTAGGGCATGAAGGGCGGACCGAAACGCCCCCCTTCCCATGAGGTTTTAGTCGCCCCCACACTCCCGGCTCATACCTGCTGTCCACAAGGCTCCCATGTGGCCGCCATCTTTCTTTCCAGAGAGGAGAGGGCGAATGGGGCAACACCCTTTCCCCTCCGGCAGACTTGATGGCCTGGATCAATGCATAGTCCGTTCACTTTTCTGCTCCAAGCTGCTGGGTTCTGCATTAAGTCCTTGTGCTTCTGGGGCCGTGGCCGTGCTGGAGAGCCGCTCGTGAGGGGTGACTGGTGACCTCGGTAGGGCGTGAAGGACGGACTGGAATGCCCCCCTTCCCATGAGGTTTTAGTCGCCCCCACACCCCCGGCTCATACTTGCTGTCCACAAGGCTCCCATGTGGCCGCCATCTTTCTTTCCAGAGGGAGGAGGGCGGAAGGGAGCAACACCCTTTCCCCTCTGGGCAGAAATGATTGCCTGGATTAACGCATAGTCCTTTCACTTTTCTGCTCCAAGCTGCTGGGTTCTGCATTAAGTCCTTGTGCTTCTGGGGCTGTGGCCGTGCTGGAGAGCCGCTCGTGGGGGGCAACCGGTGACCTCGGTAGGGTGTGAAGGACGGACCGGAACGCCCCCCTTCCCATGAGGTTTTAGTCGCCCCCACACCCCCGGCTCATACCTGCTGTCCACAAGGCTCCCATGCGGCCGCCATCCTTCTTTCCAGAGAAGAGAGGGCGAATGGGGCAACACCCTTTCCCCTCTGGGCAGAAATGATGGCCTGGGTTAACTCATCGTCCGTTCACTTTTCTGCTCTAAGCTGCTGGTTTCTGCATTAAGTCCTTGTGTTTCTGGGGCTGTGGCCATGCTCCAAACTTAACTCTGATTTTCAGGGAGAAAGATTGGGTGGTTTACTTCTCATTGATCACTTTGTATATAGAGAGATGTCGCGCGGCCACGTAAGCGGCCGCGCGGTTTTGAGAAAAAGTCCTCGTTCCCGCATACTCGAGCTGTGTTTGTAGAGGCTTCTGGTCACCAGGGTTCCATCTGGGGGAGGCGAGATGCGGCGCCTACTCCATCTGGAACTTGCCGGTGCTCTCGGCTCTTTTTGGAACCTGTTTTTTCTTTTTTCTTTTCCTCCGGGATCCCGCACCCTCCATGTGTTCCTTCTCTTATTCTGAACGCTTCAAAGATGGCGCTGGGGGGCGGGCTGTGGGCGTGACTTCCGGAATCAGAGGTTACCTGGGAGGTGTAGTCCGGCAGATTTGAGAAAAAGTCCTCGTTCCCGCATACTCGAGCTGTGTTTGTAGAGGCTTCTGGTCACCAGGGTTCCATCTGGGGGAGGCGAGATGCGGCGCCTACTCCATCTGGAACTTGCCGGTGCTCTCGGCTCTTTTTGGAACCTGTTTTTTCTTTTTTCTTTTCCTCCGGGATCCCGCACCCTCCATGTGCTCCTTCTCTTATCTATATTCTTAACTCATATAATACAAAAATAATGCACTTAAGGGTTTTTGCAGATGGTACAACTCCACCTGTTTTAAACAATCTAAACTACAACAAATGGTAAATGAATACAGTAAAATACTTGACATACTTGCTATACTTATTATTCTTTAGGGGGAGCCTCATGACATGCCCTGCTGTGCTCAGGGTTTACTCCTGGCTCTGCACACAGAGATCACTATGGCAGGGGTTGAGAGAACCATAGGTGTTATAAGAGATCAAACCCATGTTGGCCTTGTGCAAGGCAAACATTCTTCCTGCTATACTGTGTGTGTGTGTGTACATATATATATTCAGTCCTAACTTATTAACTCATTATTATTAATGAAATAAATGTAAATTATAGTCTAATGTGCTTCTTGTGGGAATTCATATGTATGGAAATTTTCTGGAGGGCAACTTGGCAACATTTATCCATATCACTAAAATACTCATATTCTTTGACCCAATTTCTTCATTTTAGAAATATGTCCTAAGAAGATAATTAGTGATGTTAACAATGAATTAAACATAAGAATATTTATCACAATTTTACTTATGGGAACACAGCCCTAAAACCTAGTTATTAAATATTAGGAAAATAGTTGAACAAAAGTAACTAAGTACAATATAAAGGAACCTCCAAATACAACACTATGCTATGCATTTCTTACAAGGAATATTGTCACTGTCACTGTCACTGTCACTGTCCTCTCATTGTTCATCAATTTGCTCGAGCGGGCCCAGTAACGTCTGCATTGGAGACTTTGTTGTTACTGTGTTTGGCATATCGAATACACCACGGGTGGCTTGCCAGGCTCTGCCGTACGGGCGAGATACTCTTGGTAGCTTGCTGGGCTCTCCAAGAGGGGTGGAGGAATCGAACTCAGGTCGGCCATGTTGGCTGTGTGCAAGGCAAACACCCTACCCACTCTGCTATTGCTCCAGCCCACAAGGAATATTAAGACAATAAAACTGTGAAATGCATAAAATAAAAGTATATAATGTAAACTGAGGCAGTCAAAAGTGTGTCACAGTTTTCTTTAATTTTGTAACTATGTACAGAGTTATGGGCTGGAGCAATAGCAGAGCGGGTAGGGCGTTTGCCTTGCACGCAGCCAACATGGCCGACCCGAGTTCGATTCCTCCGCCCCTCTTGGAGAGCCCAGCAAGCTACCAAGAGTATCTCGCCCGCACGGCAGAGCCTGGCAAGCTACCCGTGACATATTCAATATGCCAAACACAGTAACAACAAGTCTCATGATGGAGACACTACTGGTCCCGCTCGAGCAAATCGATGAACAATGGGAGGACCATAACAGTGACCGTACAGAGTTATAGATGTACACATATTTCTCAAAGGAGATACACTGAAATTTAATATTTTATCTTAACATCTACTGGGATTAATCTTTATTTGCTTATTTCTGCTATTTCTAAAGTTTGTTTACTAAGCTTAAATTAATTCTATCTGGAAAATAATATGGATTAAAGTGTTATATGCTTTAATTTCTGAATATGTTGAGAAAAGTAATATCTTTAAACAAATGAAATATAAAATTATTATGACTATAAGCATAATAGACTACATCAACATTATTATATTGAAGACTATTAAAAGTAAAATTAAAAGCTGGTTATTTTTTCACTGATAATTATATAAAGCGAAATTTTGGACACCTTTATTATGTTGCCATTCTAATAATATATGATAAATCAATTTGCAATTGTGAGATTTATTTAATCAACATTAAGAATTGTATACCTACAGTCCTACAGTCATAATTTTTTTGTTGAGCTATGTATTTTAAGAAAATAATTGGGGAGCTGGAGCGATAGCACAGTGGGTAGTGCATTTGCCTTGCTCGCGGCCGACTCGGGTTATATTTCCAGCATCTCATATGGTCCTCTGAGAACTTCCAGGAGTAATTCCTGAGTGCAGAGCCAGGAGTAACCCCTATGCATCACTGGGTGTGACCCAAAAAGTAAAAAAAAAAAGAATATAATTGTATAAATGTCCATGAGAAAATTACCAATAGCTCTTAAAACATGCTAGTATTATTGTATTAAATAACTGAAAAGAGTTTGTACTTGCAAGCTAAAACTCTGGCAGTGATAAACTGAAATTACTTAGTATTTTGTTTTCATTTATTTATTAAACTTTTGTTTCACTTTTGGACCACATTTGGTTGTACTCGGGGCTTACTACTGGCTCTGTGCTCAGGGATTACTCCTGCTGGGTTTGAGGAAACTGTGGGGCGCTAGGAATCCAACCCAGGTCAGTGACACCCAAGGCAAGCACTTGACCTGCTGTACTATCACTCCAGCCCCTATATATAATTTTAAATGTATTTAGAACTCATCACTGGAATGACAGTGTAAAGGAACGATAGAGCCAAATATCCATACCACAGAGTCAACAACACTGAAATCAAGAGACCAAACAACAGTTGTTAGAAAGGTACCTGCCCATAGGGCATACTGAGGATGCAAGAATACAGGAGGGAACTTGGGAAGATTGGTGCAGGTATTTTGACACTGATTGTGGGATCAGTGCTGCAATATTGTGTGTCTAAAACTCAACTATGGAGAGCTTTGTAAGTCAAGGTGTTTAGAAAATTTCACTTAATCACTTAATCACTTAACTTCCCGTTAGTCGTCGATTTGCTCGAGCGGGCGCCAGTAACGTCTCCATTTGTCCCTGTCGCGTGCTAGTGTAGCCCAATGGCATCTGTTCGCTCCGGGAACATGAAGGGCCTCAAACCGATCGTTCATGATCTTCAGGAAGAAGTCTGACCATCTGGTAGGTGGGTGGCCACGCGGTCTCCTGACATCCCGTGGAATCCAATCAGTAACAGCTCTAGTCCAACGGTCGTCTTTAAATCTCATTACATGACCAGCCCATCTGATTTTCGACACCTTGGCAAATGAGACAGCGTCCCTGATCCTTGATCGTCGACGGATGTCAGAACTCCAGATTCTTTCTCTCAATTGAGTGAAACGTGATATTCCAAGCATAGCTCTTTCTATTCTTCTTTGGGAGACCTGAATGGCGTTCTCATCTTGTTTGCGTAGGGCCCAGGTCTCTGAGGCATATGTTAATGCAGGAAGAACAGTGGAATCAAAGAGATGTGCCCGGAGCCGGAGGTTCTTCGTCCTCTTAGCTATTTCTTCGACGTTCTTGAAGGCGTTCCAAGCCGCTCTCTTCCTCCTGCGCAGCTCGGGTGCCAGGTCATTTGTCATGTTGACCTCTCGACCTAGGTAGACATAGCTGTTGCATTCGGAGATGGTCGTTCCATTGAGAGCGAATGGGGCGTCAGGAACAAGGCTGTTTCTCATAAACATTGTCTTCGTAAGATTCAGCTGTAGTCGACGGGAGCGCGGCGCGGGGCCCGGAGCCGGGGGCCCATGCCCCAACGGCCCGCAGCCCCGGCGCCATGGCCTCCGGGAGCGTGGCCGAGTGCCTGCAGCAGGAGACCACCTGCCCCGTGTGCCTGCAGTACTTCGCCGAGCCCAGGATGCTCGACTGCGGCCACAACATCTGTTGCGCGTGCCTGGCCCGCTGCTGGGGCGCGGCCGAGACCAACGTGTCGTGCCCGCAGTGCCGGGAGACCTTCCCGCAGCGCCACATGCGGCCCAATCGGCACCTGGCCAACGTGACCCAGCTGGTGAAGCAGCTGCGCACCGAGCGGCCGTCGGGGTCCGGCGGCGAGATGGGCGTGTGCGAGAAGCACCGCGAGCCGCTCAAGCTGTACTGCGAGGAGGACCAGATGCCCATCTGCGTGGTGTGCGACCGCTCGCGCGAGCACCGCGGCCACAGCGTGCTGCCGCTCGAGGAGGCCGTGGAGGGCTTCAAGGAGCAAATTCAGAATCAGCTGGACCATCTCAAAAGAGTGAAAGACTTAAAGAAGAGGCGGCGGGCTCAGGGCAAGCAGGCACGCGCAGAACTCTTGAGCCTGACCCAGATGGAGCGGGAGAAGATCGTGTGGGAGTTCAAGCAGCTCTACCACGCGCTCAAGGAGCACGAGTACCGCCTCCTGGCGCGCCTGGAGGAACTGGACCTGGCCATCTACAACAGCATCAACGGCGCCATCACGCAGTTCTCCTGCAAGATCTCCCACCTCAGCGGCCTCATCGCCCAGCTGGAGGAGAAGCAGCAGCAGCTGACGCGGGAACTCCTGCAGTACATCGGGGACACACTCAACAGGGCTGAAAGGATCAGGATCCCGGAACCTTGGATCACACCTCCAGATCTGCAGGAGAAAATCCACATTTTTGCCCAGAAATGCCTGTTCTTGACCGAGAGTCTGAAGCAATTCACAGAAAAAATGCAGTCGGATATGGAGAAAATCCAAGAATTGAGAGAGGTTCAGTTATACTCAGTGGACGTGACGCTGGATCCCGACACGGCCTACCCCAGCCTCATCCTGTCCAAGAACCTGCGGCAGGTGCGCTACAGTTACCTCCTTAAAAAATGTACTAAATAAAAAATAGTTTCAATACTTATTGTTCAAAAATAAAATTGGTAAATTTTAGTAAAATAATTAAGCTAAATACAAGATTTAAAAGCTTAATATGACAAAGACAAAGTTTGTATACAATTTAATGCCACTGAGTAAAGAATGTTTTTGAAAAAGAAATACCAATTAATTGCATTTAAAAATATAAAATCAAGGGACTGGAGACATAGCATATAGGGTTCATGCTTTGCATGGATCTATGTAGATTCAAGCTCTAGTTCCCTGTCTGGTTCTCCAATTTCCCCAGGATTTGTCCCTAAGCACAGAGTTGGGAGTAAACCCTGAACACTTCTAGGTTTGAACCAAAAATAAAAACAAAACAAAGAAGAAGTTTGAGGTATACTCTAAACTTCTAATAGACTGTATGTGTGAAATGTATGTGGAGTGATAGCACAGCGGGTAGAGGGCTTCCCTTGCATGTGACTGACCTGGGTTTGATTCCTCCATCGCTCTTGGAGAGCCCAGCAAGCTACTGAGAGTATTCCTGCCTGCACGGCAGTCTGGTAAGATCCCCGTGTCATATTCGATATGCCGAAAATAGTAACAAGTCTCACAATGGCGACGTTACTGGTGACCGCTCGAGCAAATCAATGAATAACGGGACAAGAGTGCTACAGTGCTACAGCATGTGTGTGAAATGTCTTTTCTTATTGAAGGAGGATTTTGATAGTATCAAATGTTTTATCTATCTGTAATAATTGTGATCATATACATTTATTCATTTTACATACTGAATATTCTACTGTTAAGAAAAAAATTAAAACCATGATCTAAAATCTCTTTAATTCACAATAGAAAACCTAGAAATGACAATTTCCCTGAATCTTCTTCATCCATTTTGGTCTGGTTTAAAAACTAACAGCTAATACAAATCAGAAGGGATCTAGAAGACTTGAGAGGGAAAAAAACACATGTTCAGAGTAGTTATTTGCAAAGATAGATATTCATGTAATTTACTTAAAGTAACTTCTGGGAGAAAGTCTCAAGAATTACTTTGCTATTGAATTTTGAGTATAGTACAAGAGCTTCCTAATGGTTTTCAGATTTTCTGGATTTGGTTATGGTAAATTCCACAAAGCTGTTGATTTAACAGAGTTTGCTGTGATTTTTGGTGGAGTCTTTTTTGCCCTTTTCTTCATGAACTGTTTCAAGAACATATTCCCAATTTTCAGTATTAAAACAGTTTACATTTGAAATGCAGAGACTCTAGTATGTTCTGTACAAAATTCGGGCAAATATGCTGATTGATCTTTGTACATCTAAACCATGTTTATATTCTGAGATTAGGCCTTATTTTGAATTTATAGCTGACTGCACAAAAATTATTTCACAGTAATTATACACTTTTTAGATACCTAGATAAAAGGTTGAGGTTCTAAGAATAGTATCATATCATCTGCGAATAGTGAGAGCTTGATTTCTTCCTTCCCTACCTGGATGTACTCAATATCTTTTTCTTGCCTAATCGCTATTGCAAGTACTTCCAGTACTATATTGAACAGTAGTGGAGAGAGTGGGCATCCTTTTCTCGTCCATGATCTCAGGGGGAAGGCTCTCAGTTTTTCCCCATTCAGGATGATGTTTGTTGTAGGTTTGTGTTAGATAGCTTTTACTATATTGAGGAAAGTCCCCTCTATCCCCATTTTGGCAAGGGTTTTCATCATAAATGGGTGCTGGACCTTGTCAAATTCTTTAGAGAACCCTAAACCTCTACCAAGAGAACCCTAGAAACAATAGTAAATAGTAAACAATAGTAAATAGTATAGTAAATAGTAAATAGTAAACAATAGTAAATAGTATAGTAAAGTGGCAGGCTATAAAATCAATACCCAAAAATCCATGGCTTTCCTATATGCAAATAGTGAAAGAGGAGAAAGTGACATGAAGAAAACAATCTCATTCACAATTGTGCCCCAGAAAATCAAGTATCTGGGAAACATCTTAACTAAGGAAGTAAAGGACCTGTACAAAGAAAACTACAAAACGCTACTTCAGGAAATAAAAGAGGACACGAGGAAATGGAAAAATATCCCCTACTCATGGATGGGGAGAATCAACATTGTCAAAATGGCAATACTTCCCAAAGCACTGTACAAATTCAATGTGATCCCTATAAGAATACCCATGACATTCTTTAAAGAAATGGAGCAAACACTCCTGAAATTTATATGGAATAATAGCCCCCACGAATAGCTAAAGCAATTTTTTGGAAAAAGAAAATGGGAGGAATCAACCTCCCCAACTTCAAGCTCTACTACAAAGCAGTAATAATTAAAACAGCATGGTACGGAACAAAGGCAGAGCTGCAGACCAATGGAGCAGAGTTGAATATACGGACATCTCCTCCCAAGCATATGATCATCTAATCTTCAATTAGGGGGAAAGAAAAGTGAAATGGAGCAGGGAAAGCCTCTTTAATAAATTGTGCTGGCAAAACTGAAAGGCTACATGCAAAAAAGTGGGCTCAGATCTCTGCCTAATGCCATGCACAAACGTAAGATAAAAATGGATTTATGACCTCAACATCAGACCGGAAGTTCTGATGTTAAAGTTCACTGAAGTTCATTGAAGACAAAGTTGGCAAAACCCTCTATGATATTAAAGCTAATGGTATCTTCAAAGATGTCATGCCACTGGCCAAACAAGCGAAAACAGAGATAGACAAATGGGACTATTTTAAACTAAGAAGCTTCTGCACCTCAAAAGAAACAGTGACCAAAATACAAAGACACTATACAGAATGGGAAAGGATATTTGCCAAATACACATCCAACAAGGGGTTGATATCAAGGATATACAAGGTACTGTTGGAACTCCACCAGAAGAAAACACCCAACCCCATTAAAATATGGATCGAGGAAATGAACAGAAACTTTTGCAAACAAAAAATCCGAATGACTAAAAGGCACATGAGAAAATGCTCTACATCACTAATTATCAGTGAGATGCAGATCAAAACAACAATGAGATATCATTTCACACCATAGGGACTATCCCACATCCAAAAGAACAAAAGCAACCAGTGTTGGCGAGAATGTAGCAAGAAAGGGACTCTCCTCCATTGCTGGTGGGAAGCCGACTGGTCAGCCCTTTTGGAAAACAGTATTCACGATTCTCAAAAAATTAAAATTTGATCTCCCATTTGACCCAGCAATACCACTCCTGGGAATATATCCCAGAGAGGCAAAAAAGTATAGTCGAAGTGACACCTGCACTGGTTTGTTCATTGCAGCACTTTTTACAATAGCCAGAATCTGGAAAAAACCTGAGTGCCCGAGAACAGATGACTGGTTAAAGAAACTTTGGTACATTTTACATAATGGACACTATGTAGCTGTTAGAAAAGATGAAGTCATGAAATTTACATAAAAGTGGTACTACATGGAAAGTGTTAAGCAAAGTGAGTCAGAAAGAGTGGGATAAACACAGAAAGATTGCATTCATCTGGGGAACTTAAAGCAACAAAAAGAGAGACTAACACCCAGGAGTGGCCGAGATTAGTTCCAGGAATTTTGCTCCATGACTTGGAGGTCAAGCATAGCTCTTTCGATTCCTCTTTGAGAGACCCGAATAGCGTTCTCATCCTGTTTTCGTAGGGTCCAGGTCTCTGAGGCATATGTTAATGCAGGAAGAACAGTGGAATCAAAGAGATGTGCTCGTAGCTGGAGGTTCTTTGTCCTTTTAGTTATTTCTTCAACATTCTTGAAGGCATTCCAAGCCGCTCTCTTCCTCCTGCGCAACTCAGGTGCCAGGTCATTCATCATGTTGATTTCTCGACCTAGGTATATATAACTGTTGCATTCAGAGATGGTGGTTCGTTGAGAGCGAATGGAGCGTCAGGAACAAGGCTGTTTCTCATAAACATTGTCTTTGTAAGATTCAGCTGTAGTCCGACCTTTCCACATTTATGGTTAAAGTCGTTCAGCATTTGTGCTGCTTGGCTGATGTTTGGTGTTATTAGAACGATGGCATCAGCAAAGATGTTATCAGCAAAGCAAAAAAAAATCATCTATGCTTGGAATATCACGATTCACTCAAATGAGAGATAGAATCCGGAGTTCTGATCTTCGTCAATGCTCAAGAATCAGGGACGCTGTCTCATTTGCCAAGACATCAAAAATCAAATGGGCTGGACACATAATGAGGTTTATATACAACCGCTGGACTAGAGCCATTACTGATTGGATTCCATGGGACATCAAAAGATCACATGGACGCCCACCTACAAGATGGTCAGACTTCTTGGTCAAGACCCTGAATGATCGGTTTGAGGCTCTGCATGTTCCTAGAACGAACAGATACCATTGGGCTACGCTAGCACGCAACCAGGATGAATGGAGACGTTACTGGCATCCGCTCGAGTAAATCGATGAATAACGGGGATTAAATGATTAAGTGATTAACTCACTTGGAGGCCAGTGACATGTGCTAGGGGAAAAGAAAGCTCAAATAGAGAAGAAAGCAGCAAATAAAGGGTGCTTGGGGGATCTTCTTAGAGTGGAAGAAGCATGCTGATAGTAGACTATAGACCAAACATGATTGGCACTCAATGCCTTTCTTGCAAACCACAGGACCCAAAAGGAGAGAAAGAGAACAAAAGGGAATGCCCTGCTACAGAGGCAGGGTGGGATGGGGGTGATGGGGGGTGGGAGGGATGCTGGGACCCGTGGTGGTGGAAAATGGGCACTGGTGGAGGGATGGGTACTTGATCATTGTATAACTGAAACCCAAGCACAAAAATTTGTAAGTATATAACTGTACCTCATGGTGTTTCACTAATAATAAAAAGGTTGAGGTTCTATGGTAAGATGAGGCTATGGAATGTGTTCTGATCAATAGATTGTGAACACTTGGGAAATGCCATTTCCAGGTCAGGTATTAAATTGTTGGCACTTGTAGATTATTTCATAGATCTTTCACCACCATTAACAGTGCTAATGAAGTGACTCACGTTTCCATTTGAGAAG